CCTCATTTCACCCACCTCGGAAGGATGGAAGGCTGAGTCAACCTTGAGCCGGTGAGATCTGAACCGCTGAACTGCAGATAACAGTCAGCTGAAGTAGCCTGCAGTACTGCACTCTACCCACTGTGCCACCTCGGCTCTTGAAGACTTTGAGGCTTGGCGGACTGGTGGGGGTGGGAGAGGGGACCCAGGCCATGTGAGCTGTGGGATGGCATGCCCCCGCACACGCAGCTCCACTTGTGCAAGAGGCATGCCAGTGTACACATGTGTGACAGCCAGGGGTGTGATTCTACTGGTTCTGATAGGTTTGGGCGAACCAATAACTCCGACAATCAGTGGGGAGAAAACTGGTTCGCCCCGACGATCAGATGGGCTCACCAGCCCACCCGCGTAAAACTTTCCTATCCTTATCTTCTCAGCTGATTCGCGCGGCAGAGCCGCGCAAATTGGCTATGTTAATCCGAAGAAACCCGGGAGTGAAGATTTCTTCAAACTGGACAAATAACGCGATCCCTGAACCCGTTTGTTAAACCAGGATGATTCCACCACTGGGGGACTCGCCGTTCGAGCCACCTGGTTGCAAATAGTTCTCTGGGGGCATGGGACCCCTGCCTTACATTAGTCAGAAGAAACAGCATCAGCGAGACAAAATTAATTCCCCAGCTGATTAATCCTGCAAGCACATACGCGGACGCTCGGGATGACTGGAGGAATAATTCACCGATAATCAGAACAAGAACGGAAGCTGGATGGAGAGAAGAAGGGTATGTCTTATATATATATATATATTTTAAAACAACAACCGCCACTACCACAAAATCTTCTCCTGGTTTTTCTCCCACTGCGAAGACTCTGTATCCCATCTGATCACACACCTGGTCCTGATATGTAGCCCAGGAAGAAGAGGATAGTCAAAATAAGGGTGATGAAGGCCGCTGTGACTGTTCTGTTCTGTGGGGAAGAAAGAAACTGTTGGGTGACCAACAAACTAGTATCCCCCCAATCCCTGCACCAGGCTGACTCCACATCTGCAACCAACTTCCTGTTTTCCACAAGATTTGGAAACCCCATTGACAGAAAAGTGGCGTGAACTCTACGCAATTGACCGGATGGATGAAACTGATGGATTGGTTAAATTGGTACAATTGACAAAAAGTGATTGGAATTGGTGAAATTGACCAACTGTGATTGGTGAAATTGACCAACTCTGATAGGTGAAATTGACCGACTGGATGAAATTGATGAATTGGTGACATTAATGGACTGGTGCAATCGATGGATGGGATGAAATGGACAGATTGGTGAAATTGGTATAATTGACAAAACTGATTAGAATTGGTGAAATTGACCAACTGTATTTGGTGAAATTGACCAACTGGATGAAATGCATTACATTAATTTTAACTGGCTGGCAAGATTTGAATGTGTGGAAAAAAAATACAGGGATGTTAACAGGGAGTCGCTCCAGTTGCCCTGGTGTAGAGAGCAGAACCCACCTGCAAAGTGAAGACTAGGACAATATTTGAGATGCTACACATCAAGAAGCCACTCCAAAGGAGAAATCTCCGCCCCAAGGATTCAACAGTGCAGGCCTAGAAAAAAAGGAAAGCACAAGAGGATTGACCCTTTGGGACACTGGAGAAAAACTCCCTGAGAAGACCAAGGACAGCCAAGAACAGAAACCAATATATCAGTGATGGCAAACCTTTCTTGGCTGCTGTGCCAAAAGCAGTGGGAGCACAGGGGGGTGGGGTCATGCGCCAGCATGCCACACCCATAATGCTATGTGCGCGCATGTCCCCAGCCACTCCCCCAGCTTTTGCTGCAGTTTTTTCACCTT